GGAGATGCCTGGTTCTTCAGAGAGGTTTGGGTTAAGGTGCGAAGGTAACTCATGTCAAGTTGTTAATTGCAAAAAAGAATAATGCTGTCCTTTATATTATTTGTTTTTATGTTTTACACTGGAGACCAATTGAATCATATTGACAAGTTGTTTAGAAAGAAAAAGAGTGAGTCATTTTTAACTTATGAAATCATTTCCAGAAGGGTAGATGGATAGACTCCTTTAAGATACTGCCTGAGAAGATGGACTAGGACCAACAGAAATTCATTTTGAAGGAAGTAATTGGAATTTAAGTAGTCTCGATGAGTTATTCATCTCTAGAAAGAAACACTTTTTTTTTTGCACTTTAATGAGTTTCTCTACTTGATAGTCAATGAAATGTCCAGACCAGGGCCGTGATTAGGAACTTCTCTCTGTTCTCCCAAACATCCTGTTCTGGACATTTACTTTTATTTCCCCCTCATAACTGTATGATATCTAGGTGCTACAATAAAACTCTTACTTGATATCACTCACAGAGTTCTGCTCCCCTGACTAAAACTTCAACTGATGTAATGTGAATATCATTTGCCTGAATATCATGTAGAGAAACTCATTAAAGTGAAAAAAAACGACTGAACCCAAAGTTGCAATACACTTCAGAAGAACCTGTGTTCTCATTGCAAAGCAGCATGTGCACCCAGTGCAAGTCCCAAAGTACTCAAAGCAGAGGCCAACAGGAGCTGGAGAAGCCAACGACTGCCATTCCAACTCAGGTGATGAACAACAGCCTGAACAACCTACCCAGAGCTCCAGAGCCCCCTTCTAGCACATTAGCTGCTACTGTACTTCTACCCTACACACCTCATAGCAGGGCCTCTGGGACCAACACCAACCCAGAACCATACAGGGACATGTAGCTCCTGCTCATTAAGATGACACAGTGCAAATCTGTCACAGAAATAGACTATAAAACAAGGACAAGAAAAAAACCAACTATATGATGCTATAATACAACCCTCTCATTATATAGATGTGAAAACTGCAGCCAGAGATGAAGGCCACCCAGTGTCACAGAGCTGGTGGCGGGCCTAGAAAGTCAAACCCATGGATTTCCACCTGGGCAATATCACAAAAGCAAGGCTTGGTGTGAAGTTAAATCACCTAAGGTTTTGTTATTAACTTATTGTTCTTAGAAAAAAAGTCACTCAATTTCCAGATCCATGTTTCCTAGTGAGTGAATGGTATGGACCAGGCCCAACAAACTGAAGATGATTAAAAATTAAAAGATGATGAATAAATAAATAACCTCCCATAATGCAAAATTGTCCGATGGTTTAAGATGTTAAAAGATAATTGAAACTTTGTTCCTGCATCTCAGTAGTGAGCCATCCTATAAGTTCTCATGAAATCTGTCCAGGTCTAGAAAGGATCATCCAGTCACTTCCTCCGCTGTGCAATCCAATCTCTCATCCGTGTAACAGTTAGACATTCTATATTCTTCTTGTCACCCCCAAAGTAGCTTCTCACTCAATCAATTCAGTCTGACTTTTTCAACAGGTGTCATAGCTAGGTGAGAGAGACTCTAAAAAGTAGTGAGAGGAAGAAGCTGGGGGAAAATAAGATTTCTAGTTACATGTTTCTGGACCTTTGCTCATGAGTTTATAATCAGCATTTAGCAGGAATAGCTCAACTCTGATACATGTGGTATCAGCTGGGGTGGCTCAAATGCCCAAAACTCACATTATCCAAAGATATCCACCTGCATCTAGGCTGCTGGCCAGAGCACTAACATGGATTCTCCATGTGGTCTGTATGCTTCTACATGGCGTGACAATTGCCTACAATGGTGAGCCTTCGGAGGGACTGGGCAGAATGTCTGGTGCCTTTAATGATCTTGAAAACTCTTAACATCATTTCTTCCATAGTCAAAAGCCTGTTTGATTCATCAGAAGGAGTTTAGATCCCTCTTCCAATGAGAGGGATATTATTACTACCTCTAAGGAGAGCTGTGGGGTAAAGAGTGATCAGTATCCAGGATGAGTTTATAAACACAGTGCATCAACTAAATGAGTTCTTGTCCAACAATATCCCTAGATAACATGTATGTGCACACATATATAATGCATGCTCACTTACATACCTAATGAGAACATTGTAAATGAGATAAATCCTTAGATAAAAATTGCTCCTGGGATATTTTCAGTGTTTTACCTAAGGGTAAGGACAAGGAACTGGGCCTTTCAATTATTTTAAAACAAAATTGCTTCATCCTCATCATCCACTTTCTCTTGGGTAAAATAAATTGGGCTGCTAGATTTTATACTCACATCATTCCCATAGTAACAGATCCTAATGTGCTAAAAGGTGGCTTATAGTTCCATACAACATTTGAAAAACTTACATAGGGACTCTATGTATGGTGCTTAAAACTACACTTAACAGCAGAGAATAGCACTGAGTTTCCTCGCACAAACAGGAACTGACACATGCCCATATTCATGCACATGCTCTCACACACAAGGAACAGGTCTTCTTATTCTTAAGCATAGAAGGAAATAGGTAGAAATGAGATTGGCTAGCTTCGTCTTCTTAGAATTACATTAAGCCACGTTTTATTATTTTTTTATTTTTCATCAGTAAAGTAATTTTAGAAATAATCTGACCACTTGAAGCCTGGAGGAAAATAAGTCATCAATCTTAGATACTGGAGTATAATCATGACCTTCGAAAACAACTAGACCCCAGTACAAGTGGAGAGTAGTGTGTGTCTAAGAGAAGATAATAAGGCTGAACATGATCTTAGTATTAATTTTAGGATGTTTAATTATGAAGTATTTCAAACATACAAAAAACTATAGAAAATAATATATTTATGTACCTACTACCATAGCTCATGGTTATTAGTCTTTTACCATATTTGTGTCAAATCTCTTTTCTTTCTAAATAAATAAAATATCAACAATTCAATCAAGTACTTATCTTTTCTTTTACTTTCCCTCCTTTCCCAGAAATCCTCTTCATCCTAAAGTTATGTGTGTCATTCCTTTGTATTTTTCCATGTAGCAGTACTGGTAAAAGATAACCCAAGGCACACGGAAATTTTAAAGTTTTCAGTGATTCATAAATTGGACAGTGCCAAACTGTATGAGGTTCTGAAGGAATACCAAGGGGCTTTTGTAGGGTGAATGTGGTTGTATGACACATAAAATATTTGACAGGGTAAAGTGGAAGAGTAGTCTTATTGGAATCATTCCAGGGCCGATACCTTAATTGGAGGGCGGTTGGCAGTTTCTGATTGGTTAAATTTAAGTTTCTTGTTACGGTTTGCACTCAGTTTACTTACACGGGGACTTCAGGCACTGCAGCTACCTCTAACTAATGACCTGTAAAGTAGTCATTTTAGTTGTATTCATGAATGGATCTCTGCACTGTTGCATCTTTATGCTTTAAAATTATGTAGAAATGGTATCACAGAGTATATGCCATTTGGAAACTCATTTCCATCACTTAACATTAAGATTCTGAGCTTTAGCCACAGGCCATAAATATGCCATAGGGAGAGTGGAGATGCACATTCATTATTGCACAGAGTTAATCATTGATTCAACCACATGTATATTTCACTTAGAGAGTGAATTAATGGGCCAGATTTTGCATCTGTAGGAAACATGCATGATTTTGCAGACAGAACCAGACACCAGACCCAAAAAATGAAAACAGAAGAAAGGAAATGTGGTTATTTGTATGCTAGTCTTTCCATTTTTGAAGTCCAGCTGCTTTCCCTTATAATACATCCCATGAGGGCCATTATAGGAGCATGGCCTTTATTTATGACAGCAGGAGAGTCCAGCAACTCCCCAGGAGGCAACCAACCTTTGCTGAAGTGGAGATCGGGCAGCTTCCTGAATCCCTGGGACTTGCCTTCTCTTCCTGCCCTTGCAGATCTTCTGTCTTAACAGGGCACTGTCTGTTCTTGGTAGCATGGTAGCAGAATCTACAGCCCACTGTGGGGCTACAAGGATAATATCCATTTCAGTGATTTCTTGTCCTGCTGCATTCACACCCCCGCACCCCTTTCCTCCTGCCTTGAAAAATGCCTTGCTTTATGCTTTCTTCAGTTTGTCAGTTGCACTTTGATGGATTGAGTGATTTTAAACTTTTTTTTTATATTGTTAAAATGAAAGGAACTAAAGGGGTATTTATTTTCAGGACGTGAAATGGAGTCACTGATTTAACATCAAGTATATGTGAATTACTGTGTATCTCGTCTCTGTTTATCACATTACTCTCTAAATGTTCCAAAGAAATTCCTTCCGCATAGAAGCTCTTAAAGAGAGAAAAGGGGCTGTGTATACATTTTAACTTTGAGGTGATGTTTACTTATTCAACAATATCTACTAAATTAAATGCTACATTGACCTTGTGTCATTGTCAACTAATGATGTTTTATTTCTGTTACATTTGTTAGGCTAAAGGCAAATGACTTCGTGAAAATTTTACTGCGTGGAAGCTCTTTAGGCCATGTTCAAATACTAACAAGTTTGATAAATATATTTGTCTAACAAGGGTAGGACAAAGAGCTCTTTGTTTACTGACATACTTTATTGTCATTCTGCTGTATGCCTCTCATGTGGCTGTTTTATAGAACATAAAGTCTGGGTATCCTGTCGGAATCTCAGCTCTTATTTATAGCTTACTGCAAAGTGGCTTATTGTCATTTATTATTTCTTATTTGATTTATGTAACCTCTTTCCACCCAAGAGCCTATGAGTTTATTTATATGTGCAGCACACACATACACACATATACATTTACACAACTCTCTCTGGTATACACACACACACACACACACACACACACACACACACCCTTGAACTTCATTCAATGCAGCAAAGTTACCAGTATAGCACCAAAAATCTGTATGATTTTCTGTTTATTTTTGTTTGTTGTAAGACCACACTATGGAAAAGCACTCGCCACATTCCATTTAATTTTGAGTGTTTGTTGTTTGCCTCTAGGTGGATCGGATTATCTTTTGTGTCTTCCTAGAAGTTGACTTCAAAATCTACAAAAAGAAAATGAGTGAATTTTTCCCTATGGGTGAGTAAAGCCTTTTGTTTCTGTTGGAATTGAGGACTGAAGAAGTAGAGGCGTCATTTATATGTGTGTTAAGATTTAAATAATCTTCAAGTCTGCTGCAACTATTTCCAAATATCAGTCATCCTTGCCAACTTGTATCATAGTTTTTCAGAGCTGAAGGAAAGGATAGGAGACTAGGGCTCTAAACCTCTCTGTCCCATTAGGTCATTGTGTTGTCTTGCAAAAGTCAGTACATGTTCTGGGCCTCTGTTCCTCACATCAAAAGTGAGGGCTGAACCCAAATGACCTATAAAGACCTTCCTCAGTCCTGGAGTGAATGTTCTTCTCCAACTTGTAATATTTCCAGTCCTCATGGCTACACCAACTATGTTAAGACCCATTGCTGGAAACTGTGAGGAACCCATTATATTTGTAGCTGGAGTTGAAATTGTTCTTGCATTCCATCTCTATTCCACCCAATTTTCTCACTCAAAATTGCAATGACTACAGCAGCACTTTCTAGTGTAATCTGAGATCAGTAGTCATTTTCCTTATTTTTCACTTCTTTTTTGACTATTGAAGAAACTTCAGGGTTATTAAAGAACCTTGAGTGATGGATTTGCATTGATTGATGTGCCATTAGTTGCACTGGGGTAATATGAATATTTTCTCCCATTCTATCTCTTCTAGACCATTAAGGCTAAAGCTTGTTTAAGGCCTTATTATTTTTATGATGCCATTAAAGTCGTAGTGCCCAAAATGCTTTCCTTAGCCATGGAAGAAGAATTTACTTCCAGGAAATTCAAGTTGCTGTGAACATTGTTAGTGTCTGCCTTTTTAGAGAGCTTTTCTTCAAGTTTTCCATCTCCGTGAGAAAGTGGCTTTTCACACAGTAGGTGACTATGGTAGATGGGAGGAGTGAATCAAGGGTCCTTTAAACTGACCCTCAGAACCGAAAAGAAAACGTATGCCTCTCCCATTGATCAAAGTAGAGAGAGGCTGTCAAGAACAAGGCAGAAACCAATTGGAGGTGTTAATGCTGTAAATGGGCCAAGGTTGTCTGAGCAATTTGAAGTCTTTTTCCCTAATTTTGTAAATGAAAAGTGAATCTGCTAAATGTTTGTACATATTTGGTATGTTAAACTATTTCCTAACATAAACAAAAGGTAAATGTCCAGACTCATATGATAAAGAGTAAGGTTATGGCCAGGGATCTAGCTCAGCGGTTCGGTGGCCTGCCTTGCAAACGTAAGAACCCGAGTTCAATCCCCAGTACCACAAAAAAAAAAAGAAAAAGAAAAAAAAGAATAAGGTTTTTTTTTCTCCCCTCGCTTTTCTTTTTCCTCTTCACCTCCTGTTTTTAACCTTTATATTTTTAGCAACTCAATGCTTTACTTTGTAAAGTACATAATAGCTATTTAATAAGTAGTTGTTAAGAGTTGAATTTAATAAATTTGTCTTTCCATTATCAGAAAGCTTTTTTTCTGTTTCAATCTCTTTTTTCCCATCTTTTCTCTTAATTTTCATTATAATCACAGAGAGTTGATTGGTGCTTGTAATTTCAAGTATTGTTAAAATGAATTGTTCAGTATTTTAAAAAATAGAACTTTTTTATTTTGTATAATGCTAATTTCCCATATCTTGTAAATACAACAGCATAATTTATAAGATTTTTTTGTTTGGGGGTACCCGGGATAGAACTCAGGACCTTGCACTTATGAGGCAGGTGGCAGAACCACTCAGCTAAATCCCCAGCCCTATAAGTTTTTATAAATTTTAGATTCCTTGAGATTTTTAAAAATAATGGCATTATATTTATATTCATATCTTCTAAAATGAAATTTTGTTTCTAACATACAAATATAGTAGTAGAAGCCAGGCGTGGTGGCACACACCTGTAATCCCAGCACTCGGGAGGCTGAGGCAGGAGGATTGCTGTGAGTTTGAGACCAGCCTGGCCTACATAGTGAATTCTAGGTCAGTCTCAACTACATAGTGAGACCCTGTCTCAAAAAGCAAACAAACACAAAAAAAGTTGTAGACTTATGATCCATTGATATTGAATCAAATCTATCAGGCATTTCCAATAATGCAGAGCTAGAAATCACACTGGAAATTTTAGAAAATGAGAAAGTTTTGGAGGTAAGGAATATATTTATTAATAATTGTGCACATAAGTTAATGTTTGAAAAGTTGCTACTCTAAATAAATCCAAAAACTCATCTCAATACTTGAGCAAGTAAAATAATAATAAAGCCATCCTTAGTTTCACATCAGTGCTTTGAAGCACACCATACATACCCATGAAATTAGTTTTTAGATATATTTATAACAGTAAGTGCATTTGAGACAACATTTTAAAATTCTCCAGGACTGTGGAGTATTTCTGCCATGTTGAGGGATCGGCCATTTCTAAATTCTAAATGTGCAATATGAAATAAAGGTAATGTGTAATAGAAAATGTGACTGCTAATATGAATGATATACTTTATTTGTCCTTAATTTGAATTTATGGTTAATTCATAATCATACCATCTTTGATTAAACTATAATTTTTCATGGCTTACCATATATTTCCCCAGACTGACTTATTCAGAATATCTCTAACTAGTGTTCATAACCCTTCCCAATGCAAAAATAATAATACTTCAAAAAAAATACATTTTTACATAAAGCCAAGCCTTGTTTGGGGACTTAATCCCATGTTAATAAATTTCACAATTGAGAATCTGAGGCAAAATGTATGTGAAAATAATGAAAGTTACAGTAGAAGAGATCATACTAATGATACGACGCATGAATAATTATTGCCTATTATTTGCCAGAGTGCCTTCTATCAGCCATTCATTTGTTTACTTGATCTAATCAGTTCATCTTCAGGAAGCAGGCACTGTATTAACCCTGTGTTGTGATGTCTATTGTCACGGTTTCTTTGTAATATGGACCTGAGGTCTTTCTACCTTGAGAGTGGTTTGAAGCCAGGTAGCACATTCTCTAGGGGAGTCCTGACTGGGGAGAAAGTTAGGTTCATGTGTGTGTCAGGAGAGGCACAATCAGGACAAAACCAAAGTACATGAAACAGGAAATGTATTACTCACATGTCCAGAGAGGTTAGGGTGCTGTCAGAAAGCTAGTAGAAGCTTATAGGCAGCAGAAAGCTCAACCAGCAGTTACTGCAGAGCAGGGACCTGTAGGACCATGTAGGTTCATGCTTATTATTACTTAGGCTTTCCCAGAGGGGCTGTGGATTTTCTAAAGTAAACATTCACAAAGTGGGAATTTAGTTACATGACTCTTGGGCTGACTGTCAGATTTGATCATGGTCAGGAGCCATGGTGTGTGTTGGGATTTGGAGTCAGTAGGATGAGGAACTAGTGGACCATATCACAAAAAAGAATAGAGGTTTTAATAGGCAGAAGGGAGTGGGGTATAACTGAATTTCCAACAACTTTCAGGTCTGAAAACTGTTGCTGAGGAAGTAACTGTTTGAAACAATCTGTGACACCCTACTTTTAGGATATGGAAAAAGAGGCATAATTGAGGAAAATGTGGCATCCAGCTAGGAAGCCGCAGAATTATATTTTGAAATTAAGAATGGCACCTGTCATTGCACAAGTGATAATTGGTTGGTTAACTCAGAGCATCATCAGAAAAGGCTGAGGTCAACTTCCAGGGTGTATTCGAAGCAGCATGAAAGTCCCATCCCTAATTTCATCTACTGCCCATCAGTTTTAAAGCTGCCATGCTTCTTTTTCTTCTAATACCTATAAATGTCCTCACGGAAACCTGTCTAATATGAATTATGTCAGTACCTTACCATGAGTCTCAGAGTTTAATTTTGTCCAGATCATCCAGGCAGCATGGCAGGTGAACCGATCAGTTTTAATGAAGCTGCAGACCTTTTAGCATTACTAAAAGATGAGATAGAGGTTGTTTATAGTGTCTTTTCTAGGGCTGCAAAGATAAAATACCACGAAGTAAGCAGCTTTAACAACAGAAATACATTTTCGCACAATTCTGGAGACCAGGAGTCCAAGGTCAGCCTGATGGCAAGGTGCATTTCCTTTGAGGAATCTTTGCTTGGCTTGTGGTTGGCCATATTTCCCTGTGTCTTCGTATCACCTTTCTCTGTGTGGCCTGTGATCTTCTAAGGTTACCAGCCGTATTGGATAAGGACTCACTCTAATTAACTCATTTTAATTAACTTTTTAAAGTATGTATCTTCAAAACAGAGTCACCTTCTGAGTGACTGGGGGGTTGATGGGTCAAGGTATGAAGGTTAGAGGGGATACAACTAAGCCAATAACTGCCCTTCATTGAAAATCAGTAGGAACTTCAAAGGAAAGAAGTCAGCAATAATCATTTTCAACAGTTTTATGTCTTGCTGTAGGGTGAAGCACATTTGACTTTCCCCTTCCAGATGTATTATTTGGAAGTAGAGTGTGGCAGTTTTATGGAATTATCATACACTTTGGTTGCAAATAATTTATAGTTACAGTGCACCATTACATGGCCTAAAGCAAAATAATACTTCTGTGATTTAACTCAAAAATCTCTTTGTTCTTAATATACAAGGTATGTATTTTTCAACATGTAGAATTTATTGTGTGTAGTTTTCATTGAATGTATAAAGAAAAAAAAAGATAATTCTTGATCTATGATACGGAAGTTAATTTTTTAATAAGTTTAAGTCCTACTAGAAAATTAAAGGATGTTAATTTTTGTCATAAGAGCAATAAAAAAGTGACAACTTTGTAACTACATCCAAGAATCCTGATGTTGGAAGCTTCTGAGGCCCTCTTTCTCCCCTTTCCTTTAGGGAAAGCCTCATTTCTTCACTGCAATGGTGTCTAACTATGGATGATTTTACCCAGAAGAGAACATTTTGAACTTTTCATTCATAAATGTGGATGAGCAGAAGCTACTGATATCTAGTGGGTAAAGGTCAGAGACAGTAATAAGGATTCTGCAATGCACAGGACAGCTCCTCCAAAAGCAGGGAACTATCCAGCTACAAATGT